TTAGATGCTGCCTGTCAGGGAAATAAATTTATTGAGTATGAACATGAGAGAGCCTCGTGCATGCCTTTCTTTCTTACAGCTGAGTATGTGTGTGTATATGTGTGTCTTTCCATAGGATGTCACCCTGATTCTGGGGGGGGTCATTTTCTTTATGTTTTGCGGGGTGATGAGGGTTGTTAGAAGAAGGGAGGGGAGCACAAACCTGAACGAAGTGGGCTTTAGTGTTTGAGGAGGCACGTTGGCCCCATTCCTCCCCTGAAGTGGTCTTTTCCCCAGTCGGCAGACGGGTTTTGTTTTGTCTGCAGTCCTTAATGTGATGCCCCACCTTCTTCTCGTAGGAGCAGTTTCTTGTAGGACAACACCCCTAAGAGGGCACAGGGCTAGGATCCCAGGAGTCTGGGGCACAGCAGGCTCCGCGTGAAACAGGAACAACGCTGGGATGAGTGGCCCCCCCGCAAGACCGTCTGCAGCTCCCCTGCATCAAAGCACTGCCCAGGCCCTTGCTAGTCTGCTTCCTGGGGCTCCAATGGGGCCACTGCCCACACTGGTACCCACAGATAGAGGCAGAGCTTGCATGTGCAGGATGAGTCTTGTCTTTTTTGCAGGCTCTGTTCCCTGGCCGGGTTCTGATGCCCCATTCAGGAGCCCGGAAACAACCCAGATTTTCACCCTGGGGTCTCAGGGAAGCCTGCAGCCAAGCAGGTCATCCTCGTTGTTCCAGATCCATCTTTCTGGGGAAGGGGTGTTCTAGCTCAGCCAATGTGCTGGTGATCTGTTGTCCTCATATTTGCACCTTCACACAGAACAGCAAATACTCCTTCCTCCATTACAGTTTCAAAGGGTGGGGTGGGAGAGGAAGGAGGTCATGAATATTTAATCGCAGAAAAGTGGGAGCACATTATTTGGATAAACGACTTGCTAGCAGTGCCAGCCCTTCCTCGGAGGGGGTTGATGTTGCATCACCAGCCTAGCACCAGGCGTGTGCACACTTTCATCTCTAATCATCTCCCCTCGGTTTCCTTTGAGCGAGGATATACCACGGCTCCTGTCTCTCCATCGAACCGCATCTCTAATTTAAGCAACTGTTAATAAGGGTTAAGTCTGCAGGCTGAGCTGGCCCTTCACGTGTTACTTGCAAAGGGGGAAAAATCAATGGAGCAGGAAGCCAGAGGGGCGTCCATTTTGAAAAGCTGTAATGAATGACGTCTCCTCAGGAAAGCTGGCAACCTGAAGTTCTGCTCCCACAGCCTCCCTTTCATGGAGCCAAGCCCTCTGCGACACATCAGATTTAATGAGACTGCACAGGCCTCGAATAAGGAAGGGGAGCGCTGTGCTGGGGCACTTTATTAAGGAGGATCAGAGAAAATGCGCTGGCTTTTAAAAAGAGCCCTTAAAGGCAAAGGATCTTTTGCGGGGAGTGGAAGGAGGTCCCTAGTTTCGACGTTTCACGTCCCCTTTGGAGCACCTGAACGACCTAATTCATTGTGCGGTTTGGGGCCTCAGCGTTAGCAAACAGGTCCCCAACCCTCAGGGTCCCCAAAGACCAAGGAGATCATGGTAGGTAATTAGGAACCTTTTGATTTAAGCACCAGCACCTATCCCCTCAAGGCCACTAGAAGCAAATGGAGGGAGAAGCTCTGTGAACTGTCTTCGTGTGATGAATCATTATCATGACTGTATTTTCCAAATCAATATTTAAGTCACTTCTTTGGCCAATAGGACTGGACCTATGCAAACAATAGGAGCAGAAATACTGAAATCTAGAAAACCTGGTACAGGTGTTGGCTGTAGATTTGGGAGACAGCATTGTAGGGCATCGAGAGACTTTCATTCAAGTATCTGCTTTGTTGCCAATTTACAAAGATTCTGTATTCAAATATGATAACTCAGATCTTCAGTTTATTTGCTTACAAAAGGAGAGGGTGAGGAAAATTTACCATTCTCTGGTCAGACTTAGAGCTCTGAGTCAGTCTTGGAAAAACAGAAGAGACAATGGCTCTAAATGAAGAAAATTCGTGTGAGTGCCACGCGGCTATAGAGAAAAGCAACACAACCCTTTTGTGAGTCCTTTCTAAATGCTCCCAGTAAAACAATTCTGGGGTGCAGAGCTCCGAGTATTACCTTCTAGAGCCTCATTTTCCTCTCTGAATCTCTATTGACAAAAAAATTTTTCTTATGTCCTGTGTAAGAAAAATAATATTGCCATTGATCACACTGTTATCACAGGCCAGGCACCGGACTGGGTGATTGATGAGCATTAATGTCAGAGGTATGGCAGAAGAGAACACAGGGCCGGAGCCAGGCTTCCCAGGTGGGCACCGTCACTTTGCCGCTTCCCGGCTGAATGACCTGGGGCGAGTCACTGAATTCATCATGCCGGCCCATCGTCGGTGCGCTAGAAGTGCTCACGTTCAGCTCTCATTTAAACCTCAAATTAGTCCTACGAGGTAGGTATTGTTATCCCCAGTTTTCAGACAGGGATCTGCAGCTCAACAGCATGCCCGAGATCACCTGTGCGGTGGGAGGCAGAGCTTGGAATCCAGCCCGGACTCCCCTGCCTTGAAAGCTCCTGAGCTCCCCACCAGCGTGCCCAGCCTCTAGGTTCGGTCTTTTTAAGTCTCCTTCATGCTTTACTGGGAGTAAAATCAACTCACACTGTCTTCGGAGGAGGAACGGTGACTCTGCTCCCCATTTCTCCTCCTTGGAGCACGTGGCTTTCCCTCTGCTGAGCCTTCCCAGCCTCCCCTTTCCTCCCCTTTTTGGTAGGTGTCCCTCTCAGTTCCAGTTTCACTTTCTCTCCTTGTTTGTGTGGCCTTCTCTTCAAGGTCACTGCGTCTTTTCCTTGAGATTCCATTTCGAGCCCTGCTCATGACCTCTTCCTCTGTGCTCTTGACTGGGTGAGGAGGGAAGCAGGCCAGTAATAAGGAGGGCAGGCCCAGGGCTCCTAATCGGGACTGAAAGGGAGCCGGCCCATCGGGGAGGTCGGCATTATTTGCATCCCAGCTTTCTGGAGAACAGAGGCCCAGAAGAGATTGGAGTTGAAAGGAAGATGGAGAAGAGATTCCATGTGAATATGGGGAAACAAAACCCCCATCTGGGTAGGTGAGGTCAGAGGAGGTGGCCCTGGACAGTGTGACAGTGCAGTGAGATGAGAGAGTCTTAACTCTTTGAGGGCAATACTTGCTTCTTTTCTTCCTGTTGGAAATCAATATGGGTTGTTCACACTGGAAGTGGCCTGGAAAGGCAGGCCAAGGTGATGCAGCCAGCTGCTTGGTCCCCCTGCCTCTCTGGCCTCATACTTACTACATGGTTTGACTTCATCTTGGGGTAGATAGAAGAGACACAACTTATGCATATAGTTTGCAATGTACCATTTAAATTCATGTTTTCTTTTCGTCCTGTGTCTTTTCACGGTGGTATGTTCTGTTTGCTGCTCAGACCACCATCTTAGTCTTGAGGCTTCCCATGTGTTAGGACTGCCTGCCTCTTCTGTCCTCTGTATCTTGCTCCAGTAAAAGGCACTATCAGCATTGACTATGTGCTTGGAAAAATCTTCCCTGGTATCCCTGTGTGTTCCCAGAGAGGTCTTTCCTCTTCCTCCTGTCCTTACGGTTCTCAGCATGCAACCCTGGCAGCCAGTAGACCCTAAGAGAATGAGAGTTATTCAGCTTGTGCTGGACAATTTCTACATTTTGGAGTAAGACCAAGTTAGTCAGCCACTGTGGGTTGCACCACGTACCTTCCCTTGATCGAGGGAACTGGGTGTGGGGCTTCTTTTGAGTCTGAACTAGAAGTGGAGCCAATGACAGCAGTCTGCAAAACGACTCAGGGATACACTAACAACTTCCAATAAACAGCGGCCACAGTCGCAAGGTCTCCCCTCAACTCCGAGGTGCTCAAGATTGGCTTGACTCTGTGTCTTCTTTGGTCATATTGTTCTGACCAGTGAAGAAGGGGAAATTTCAAGGATACGATAGACTTGAAGCAGTGAAATGGGATGCTATGTATCATAGACTCTGTGTCCTGGGGCGTGGAACAAGGTAAACATGCAGGGCTTGCTGGACTTGATGGCTCCTGCAGATACTTCACATCCTCCCAGGTATCTTCTTTCTCACATAGAGTCAAGAGGTTTGTGATTTGAGCCATGAGAAAGGTAACATTGTAGCTGACAGAAGATGGTGAATGTCTGCATTTATTTTCTAATAAGCTGTGGGTTCATAGTGCCCAGCTGTGGCACTGAGATATGCAGTGATATACCACAAAATTCATTGTCAGCTTCTTGCAGAATCATTACTGCTCTGCAGAGTTCAGTTAGCTTTTATGTTGTTGTTTTTCTTTAATTGAAGTGTAGTTGATATACACGCTGTTAGCTTCTTGCAGAATCACCCCCACTCTGCTGTACTCTGGGAGTAGTGTGCAGGGCTCTGAAGACAATGGGTTTAGAAGGAATCACCACGCAACCTGCACTCACTGCCTCATCACCTTTGGTTTAGATTTTTCCGCTTGGTAAGTGGATGTCCACTGGTATTAATGCGGCCTCCACAGTGTGCAGAGCTGATGATATGTGTCATGCGGCGAGCGGAGGATAAGGAGGGGAATGTTTTGCTTCTTACCAGACACAAGTGAATAACCATAGACGTTAGTCAAGTGACATAACCTACCCAAGCTTCAGTTTCCACATTGTAAAATTGATTCAGTACTCCCTTCATAGAATTATTTGGAGAATTAAATAAGGTAATCACTATTGATGATATCTGTAAAGAATGGAATGTTACCAGCTAGTTGCAGACAAACTCCACAAAAGAGCCTCTTGCTGAAGGAAACAGTGAGATCCAGAAAGATCATCTTGAAGTTTAAAAGTAAACTTGGGCTTTATAGTGACAAAAGCTAAATAAACAGAACATTCCCCCAAACTATCAGATCGATTCCATGATTTCACAAAGCGTCAGTTTTGTGAAACGTGCTTACATATGAGAAGTGACACTTGCTGGTCCACTTACAGTAACTGATGTGCTGTCTTCAGTGACACCCAGGCTGTGTGTGCATGCGCGTGGGGGACGTGCCAGCGTTTGCAGCCGACCCGCTCTTCCTGAGGATTGTGAACTTTCGGCGAGTCCCCTGGATTTTCTAGGGCAGAGAAATCCAGTATGGTTAAAAAATGGAGGCAAAGCTATGAAAAGCATCTAAATTAAAAAAAAAACAAAGCACCAGTCCTAGCTGACAGTAATACTCAGGGACTTGGCTGTGGAAGACCCTGGCCAGGAGAGAGAGAAAAGTCTCCAGAAAGGCATTTCTAAGGGCGTGAGGGGACAGCTCAACAATAAGCCCATTTTGCCGCTCAAGGGCAGCACTTGAGGACTGTGTGCAGGGCCAGAGCCTGCGACACGCCTGGGAACAAGGTCTGGATTGTAGCTCTCTGAAGCCGCTTCAACAAAGATAGCAGAAAGGAATGGGGGGCTGTAGGGAAAGACAATTCCGTTCTCCAGGCAGAGGGACTAAGCCGTCCCCTCTGCCTTCTCCCCACGTCCCCCCGCTTCGCGCTGGAAACATTCCCGTGGTGCCGCATCCCCCGGCAGTGTTTCCAAGGGCTCCTCCATTGCTTTCACTCTCCCTTCCTGAACAAATGAAATAAAGAAGAAAAGCAAAAATGACAGGAGAGAGGGTAGGAGGGAAGAAGACAGGGGGGAAGGACGATAACTTCCCAGGGAGGAAGGTGTTTGAATGACTTAGGAAGCTGAAGTCAGAGAAGCTGAGGGTTAAAAATCTAAGAAAAGAGAACGCAAAACATGGAGCCTGCCTAGTGCCAAGAGGTTAGGTTTATTGAAAAGCCAAGGACATTTGGCTGAGTGCGCGGAGAGGGAAGTGGTGTTAAATTCAGGCATTTCAACTCTTTGACTTGGGGCAAACTTCAAAACCAACAGGCTACGGCTCTGGCTGCGGCGAGAGCAGTGCTGTATGCTGACAGCCCCCTGGCCTGGCCTGCCTCCGCCTCCCCGGAGTCCCCCGTCCCTCCTCCCCGCCACCAGGGCAAGCAAGGAATGTAGGTGGAATCCGCCCCGGCTGGGGCTCTGCCGAGGTTCACAGAATTCACTGCCCTGGTGGCCGGGCCGGCTCCCAGGGGCTCCAGAGACAAAGGGGGTCTGCAAGGCGGGGGGAATATTAACCACCTTGTTTCCGGGTTCTGTACCTGACTCCGAGATTTCAAAACGTCTCATTGTTTTACCCTAGGGGTTCAGCTCTTTTCTTACGTTATCCATGTCCTTCTTTTAACCAACTGCGTTCCTGGTTTCTCTGCTCTGCGAGGAGCACAGGTGGGGCGGCGTGTGAGCGCAGAGGATCCAGGCAAGGAAAAGCTCAACAGCCCGACCTGCTTCGGCTGCATGAAAATAATTGCAGGTTTGAAAAGGGCTTTGGCGAGATTTATTGGTGGAGAGAATTTGGCTCCATCAGACACGGTCTTTTGTCTCTCTGTGCCCTCATACCTTGGTCTCTCCGTCCCCCTGAGCCCCACGACTTTGGAAGAGTTAAATCTGAGGGCAGATGCAGGTTGGAAGAAGGTGCTTCACAAAGGGGCAGAGAACAGGCTGCCTGGTATTTATGTAATCTGGCAGAAGGGAGGCTGTTCATGAGACAGAAGCCAGTGCACAGGAAGAAAAGAAAGAAAAAGGACTGTAAGAAAGAGGCAGAAAGGAAGGGACGGGAAGAAAGGGAGGGAGGCAGGAAGGACAAGAAAGAGGAAAAGATGGGGGAAAAAGAACCCTAGCTCGAGGTTGCAGGATGACTAAATGGGGGAAAGGAATAGAAAGAACTAATGAGAATGCATATTTCGAAATTTCCCACTGCTGTGTGTTAGAATTACAGAGCTCTGAACAAGCAGCCTAGCACAGACATGAACTTACCCTTCAAAAACAGGCAGGTTGGAAGTGGATAGCATTTAAAACGTTTTGAAGAGCGACGACCTCCCGCTCCCACCCCGTTGTTTATGCAGTGAGATTCCTCTGGGCATGTGAACTTGATCCACAAAGCAACCGGGAGTCAGCAGTTGAAATGTATGTCAATACGAACAGAGGAGGGGAACAGCTTCTGATCTAAGTGAAAATAGACTAGAGTGTAGCTATTGTTTGTGCCATGACTTACTTCTAATTGGGGTAGTATCTTGAGTCCAACCTCGTCTAACCTCATAAAAGCCTGAAACTCAACTGTCAGGCTGTTTTCACGAGGAAAAGTCCTTTAAACCCTTTCTTCTCCTACAGGGTCTTGGAACTTATAATATAGATGATTGATATTGGGAAAATACTCTGAGGCATGTGGTTTCTGTCTGCACCCACATACATTCAGATGCACCCGCGTCCCAGGTGGTTTCCCCCACAAACACGTGCATATACCATCCAAGCACTCATAAGCATGTGCAGTGAAACTTCTAGAGTCCCCCAGGGAAAACGCCTTTACAGTGTATCAACTGTTCTGCATTACAGCATGAATATAAAGTAGAAAACACCAAGAAATAAAGGAAAATCTGCCACTCACTAAGTGGGGACCTACTACATGTGATGTGTTGGGCCGAGCACGCCTTTATATTGAACACCGCCATTCGTTGAGTTCGCAATCTGCTTTTAGAACCATGTTTTAAGACAGTGTACATCTGAAACAGTCTCTTCTGGTAAACTGTCTTAGAGAGAGTCCATTTCTGTGTGAAAAGGCAGCTGTGAGGAGCTGGAAGGCCTGCAGCTGCAGACAGCTGGGACGCAGGGGCTGTAATGGAGTCCTCGGGGCAGTGAGCGCTGGCTCACAGGCTCTGAGGCTGCCTGTGGGAAGGCTTGTCAGCACAGAGGAGCTGCTTCTGCTCGTCCACGGCTCCCACTGCCTTTCTCATTTACCTGCTAGGACAGAACCCATCAGTAGGACTCACAGCACCAAACTGCCTGAGAACCAGAACACGTTTTTCCCGAGCCCTCATCCCAACCTTGTGGTAGATTCCCACGTGGAGTGTTGTGGCTTCATCCCATGGCCCCTTCTGGCTTGTGGGATTATCTCACAAGATCTAGAAGATGCTCTCTGTGGGCTCCAGCAGAAATGGGGCAAAATCCTCGAAGCCAAAGGCAGTTCTGGAAGAATGTTGGTGCTGATTGCCCGTGAAATATTTACCCCAGGCATAAGAAGGGAACCTAGGCTCATTCCTCTCCATTCAGATTTTCTAGAGAATAAGAGCACCTTGAGGTCTGAACACATTGCCTAGTGGTTTGGCCTCATGGGAATTCCCTCATCAGAAATATAAAAAACAGCACAGCCACAGAAAGCTCATAACCCTTTCCCGTATGAACTGTCTTGAGGCTTTGCTTTCAGAATTTGTCGTGGAGACTTGTCATTGGTAATAGAAAATCCTCTTAAAAGCATGTTCTGAGCAAGGAGAATACAGAGGCATAGGTCACAAAATGACGGGAGGAGATGCTGCCCATTGGATGTGCACCTTGGTCCATGTGCTGGGTCTGTACACCAGCCTTGTCATGTAAGATGTGATGGAAAAAGTTCCTTCCACTCCCACTGCTCAGAGGTAACCGCGCTGGAGGATGGAGGTCAAACATCAGCGATGGGGAGAATTTCAGAATACAGACAGGAATTAGGTCCAGGGGCAAGGGGCCAATGACATCAGCAGTAGGTCAGGAAGTAGACTGTGACGTGGGCCCAAATCAAAGAGGCTCAGGATGTAAGCTGAGTATGTGGCAAGAGTGGGGTATATTCTGAAATGTTTAGGTGTTGGCCACATGGAAGTGTGTTGGGTCCCACCCAATTTTTTATCTTTTATACCAATGGAAATGATCTACTGATCAGAAATAGGGGGCGGGGCATATTAATGTTTTATATGTGATTTGTAGTTTACACATCATTTCATTGTGCCTTCAGCAACCCAACAAGGTAGGGAGAAGCGGTGGCATTGTTCCCATTCAACAGATACTGAAACTCTGACTAAGGGAGAAGGGGTTCACCCATGGTTGCTAAGGGCAGAGAAAGACCTAGAACTAGGGCTGGTGATGCCCAGTTCAATGCTCTATCTCCTGTATCACATGACTTTGGTAGTTTCTTCAAACTGCAACATCACCAGAAAGAATCTATTTGTCCCATCTGGTCATGTGATTATCCTTGAGCTCAAAAGGCATCCTGTGATTGGCAGCTATATACCAAGACAGACAAGGGCATTTCTCCCAAGAAGGCCTGCCTTATCTGTCTCTTAAGGGTTAGTGGAAGGTGCCAATGTGACCACATTGTGAAGCCCTGTACATATTCATTCACCTGTGAAATGGGGAAAACAAAATATCTTCAGGGCCTACATTCTGCTAGATACTGTGATAAGTGCTGGGCATGCAAAGATGTGATGTAAATAGTCTTTTTATTCTTCACTACACTCCAAGGAAACAGTGATTATTTACAGATTTATAGATGAGGCATGAGGTTAAGTAACCCACCCAAAGAAGGGGACACCTGGATTTGAAGCCTGGGATTTTCACTCCAAGGCTCTAGCCTCCGGAGATGAGCTATGAGAGAATCAGAGATGCAGGCTGCAACCAAAGGGCAGTGATGAAGGAGCTGGGACAGGCTTTACAGAGAAGGGGGTGTTTGAAGGTCAGTGAGGAATTTACTAGGAAGCAAAGCGATAGCTGGGGGTCTACTCCAGCCTGAAGGAAGAGCATGTAAACTGGCATAAAGTAATTGTGGACATGGGAACCAAGGAGAAGGAGCAGGCAACAAGAAGCTTCATTTTCTTGGTTCATTTCTTAGGGCTTAATACCAGTGCATAGGAAACTTCTGCTTTGCTTTGCAGTGTTTGTCTTTCCATGGAGTAATCATTCCATGCAAGGAAAAGCCATTCTGGGTGGTAAAGAGGGTCACTATTTATTTATATAAGATGTGGGCAAACCCTGAATCAAAACTCTTGCCATCATCTAAGCTGGTGTTTCCCCTAATGTACTTTGTGAGCGACCTTCCCTTGTGCATGCATACTAGGATCCCATCCCTCTGTGTTTCTGTCTTCGACCTAGTGTTTCCATCATCACTGCAGTCAGCATTTTCAGCCACAGGTTCTGTGGACCCCAGTTAGGACCGTGACTTATTCCCTCAGGGGAGAAAACTGT